AAATATAGCCAATTATAATAGAGTTTGAATTATCTGAGTTTTTAGACATTTCAAAGGGAATAACAGTAGTTTTAAATTAATCAGGTTTAAATTAACTAGATCAGTTATAGTTCAATGAATTAAACATTTTTTTATTTAATTAATCAGAAAAATTAAATATTACTTCTGTTTAAAGAATTAATATTGGAAGTTAATATTGCATACAATTGTGACCAGAGGGTCTGCACCAGACTGGTGATGCCTACGTCAGGACTGATACCACTATATCCCTTAAGGTTGATACAGAAACCTTCGGCTGCTATTCCAATTGTGCGCGAGTGGTCGTGTATGTAAATACTAGGAGTCAGGAGACCGACCGAGAGACAATGCGGCCGAAAGAAGTGCACACTGCAACTCAATTATAAAAGGAAAAATTGTCTGTTTATTTATATAAATTATTTATACATATACATAGGATAACAGAGTTTTGTTATAGCTTTTATAGCATTATAAAATCGACACGTTCTAATATCATAACATACTGGATAATATGCCTATAATGTAACATAGTCTATTGGACTTTATACTAGTCGATATCGGGTTTCTATCAAGAGGGAGCATTTACATTATTACACACGATGCTAAATATCTTGATCATTGATTGTAGATTGTAGATTGTAGATTGGGTTGAGGTCATAGATCGCTTTAGGAATGGGATTGTCAACAGTGGAGGTAATTCAAGTTCGTTAAGTCTTCTTCTTGGATCAAAGAGTTTAGACATTCTAAGAACTGCAATGATGGACAGGAACAGCAGTCAATGGGATCGGTGGTGGAACACAGTTACACTATACTTAAGGGAAGGAGCCAGTCAGCAAACTCTCATTGTCAGTTGCAATGTTCATCTTTATATTTTGGGGGTCCTCCCCCTTGATTTTGATGCCCTTTTTTGGTAATGTTTAGGGTTTAGACCAATAGATGAATTTAGGACGATAGTTCCTAGTGACACATTCATTCGGAAAATGGTCACCTTTAGAAAAGAAGTAGATCTGGGAAAAGATACGATCACATCCTTCCAGTTTTTTTTATTAAATGTTGGGAAAATTTTCTTTTTTATAATATGTGAAATTTAAGTGCTAGTCTAAATAAATTATATATTTTGTTGTAATTAATTAAAAATTTCATCTCGTCTAGCCTCTCTCAATATATTTAGATTAGGAATGAAAGAATGTTTATTTCTCTTAATTAGATAATTTAGAAGTAAAATTTTTAAAGTTTAAATTAAATATTTACAATTCCTTCTTTTTTTAATTTTCAAAAGTAATGAATGATTTTAATTTATTAAAAGCTTTTTACTTTAGAAGTAACATTTTGTTACTTTACCACAGGGTTTCCACAAATTCTGGAATCCCAGAAAAATTTGGGAATTTCAAAAGACACATTTTTGTCACTTGATTAATAAGTATATTTAGTATGTTGACAATTTAGATTACATTTCCTTGACTTCTCCAGGAAATTAGTGAATTATCATAGGTTCCTTTAAAAACAGAAACAGAAAACCAAGAAAAATACTGTTCTGTGTGTTAATTTTTTTTTCCAACAATGTAGAATGATCTTTTGCAAAAAGCAGAAATTCAAATTTCTAGTATTGATGTCATTGGAATGACATTAGAATTTCAAGAAACGACAGTAGTATAGGTGATTGCAAGTCATTTGGCAGTCATATAGCTCATGCTCAACTTTTTTTTGCCTTGTGAACTTTTTAAGTGAAATATCAATATATATTTCAAAAATTTCTAGTGTAGTATTGTGTTTGTTTTGTTGTAAGCAATCTTTGTTTCATATGTTCTTATTGTGTCTGCCATGTTGAATCTTTCTGTATACTACTAATTTTTAAATTTTTGCACATAACAACAGAGAAGTTAAATGTTTTAAATTATATTTTCTAGACACACTGTGCTTTAGAAATGGAAATTTTTCTATTTTCTCTTTGCTTTTCTATAAGTAAGAATAGGGTTTTAAAAATTTATTTCTATTTCTAGCTTATTTATTATTTTGCTATATCAGTCTAGCAGATGAATTAGTTGTATGGTCAGTAAAACAAGTTGAATGGATTGCTTGTTCAAGTGGTTATGGAGAGAACATTGCAACAAAGTAGATGCAAAAAAATTATTTATGTACAGTACAGTAAGGGCTTGACTCAAAGTATTTTGACTACTGTCACTTCACTCTCAGAAATTTTGTATCCTAGAAAAGTTTACAAAGCTTTTATTAGCAGTGGTATGATTTTATGAAGAATTAGTCAGAGCATCAAAACTTAAAACACTTGCATTGAAGAATGGGTTGCAGAATTCATCAAAATAGTCTAAACTTGCCCAATATCCATTTTAACAAGATATGATTTTTATTTTTAGTTAATTTTTCACTGGGCATAATTGATTCTAGAGAGCTATGTTTGATTGTAAAAAGTTAGCAATTGTCTTACAGTTTCCTAAAAAAGGGAAGCTGCCATTTGCAAATTAATAATAATACTGCACTCACAATATGTATTTGCTCTGATTGGCCAATTTATTTTTTGTTTTGTGTTGTTCAAAAGCAGAGCTTCTCCATTTCTGCCATATCAAGAATTTGGCTATGAGTCAAGTCTGAAATCCTCAATAACCTGGCAATGCAGTTTGAGTCAGTAAAATGATATGTTTTTAAGCAAAAACTCAACAAATAAGTTTAATATCCCTATTAGGAATTGTATATGAATTGTATTTTCTTTGATATATTTACAGTATATTTATATTAAAATATCACTGTATAAAAGCAGTACTATGTAAATAAATAAATGAACCTACAATAATGAACTGTTAAGAATAAACTCATGAGATTGCACTGAAATTTTGTGATAAAAACTGTTAACCGTACAACTGCAGGATAACACAAATATGCCACTGAAACAAATAAAAATAGATGATGGGAAATGGAATCTCTTCTCATTTTTACAAGTGCAAATTTCAAGTTTTTTACAAATGCACTTTAAAGAAATTCATAATACTTAAGTTATTTGATTTGGATTCTTTGACAGCAGGCACACGAGGTGGCATTTCCCATAATAATGTTCTTTTGCCCCTCACTGTTTGCTAGCCACCACTGCTATTCCATTCAAGTTTAAATGCAAACAGTGTAAAAAAAAAAAGAATGTCACAAGCAGTGAAATAGACCACTGGATGAAACAGAAAACAGACTCAAATATTAAGCTGTATGAACAGCCAGGAAGTAAAGAATAAAATTCAATATTTGTTCTTGTTCAGCCTTTTTTTTTTTTTTATTATTGATCATTGTCATGTATAAATTACCACTAGTTTACATAATGACATGTAAAGAGCTACATTTCTGATAGGGTTGTTCCTAGCATAACAATGTGTTGCTAGTTGTCGTGGGCTATTTTATTTTTATGGTAGCCTACCAACCTATGCTAGGTCTACTCAAGTTATCAGCCATATGGATGATCCACACACAGAAATTTCTAGCTAATTCCTTTGATAGGTACTAAAGAATGTCATTTGTTATAATGGGAATTTAGATACTGGGATATGGCTGTGTATTTTCTCACATATCACAGAAGTTTTAATTGCTACTCTTGAAAAGTCCTGAAATTTCATTTTGCAAAAAAGAGTGGGATTCTTGTTACTATCTTATCAAACAGTACACAATTTAATAAATATCAATGTTATATTTATGTTTTTCAATAATAATATGATGATTATATTACAGGAATTCTTTCCGGTAAGCAAACGTAGTCAAGAGAATTTAATTGCAACTTTTAAATTGCATGGTTTAACCCAGCTCTTAGAATATCAGGTATGGTTTTGAATAACCAAAAATTATATTGAAAATGATTAATTACCAAGTTTTTTTTTTTTTTAATATAGAAAGCACAAGAAAATTCCTTTGTAAAAAAAGAATTGCAGCAACAAGTTTTCACACGATTGAAAGAAAAAGCTAGTGTGAAGGAAATCATTCCTATTGTGAAGGAATATATGATTAAATATTCTCTTCCCGAACCCGACGTTGCTGTCTTGGTAGGACCTTTTTTTTTAATTAGATTCAGTTATGTCTAGAAGGAATTAAATTTTTATTTCTCTGAAATTAGATTTCAAATTTGAATCAAACATTTTCATTCTTAGTTATGGACTTCATTGATGGCTATTGTTGAATGGAATAAAAAGGAAGAATTGGTTGCCGAGCAGGCACTGAAGCATCTTCGTCAATATACTTCTCTGCTTTCTGCATTTACACAAAATGCCAAAGCAGAATTAGCCCTTCTTGTGAAGGTTCAAGAATTTTGCTATGATAACATGAACTTTATGAAAGTATTCCAGAAAATAGTTGTCCTCCTCTATAAAAGTAAGAGCAATTTTATATTTGATGAAAACTTAAATTTGTAATTATTTTAAAAATAATGAATAAAGCTAAAATCTGTTTTTATAACGAATGATGTTATGATACATGTATTACAGTAGAGCTTTGTTTATCCGAATCAATTGGGGACTGAGGTTGTTCGGATAACCGATTATGTACGAAAAAATATATTAACCTATCCCATGTTGAAATTTTTCTCCGTTGCGTGTCGCTTTGCGTTGAATTTTCATCAATGTTAATCCTAATGAAAACTTTTTAAAATAATAATCATGGCTATTGAATCGTTAAAAATTATTTCTTTATTATTTACAAACAAAATAAATATATTGAAAAAAAAATTATACTTTAGAAGTTAATCTAGTATCAAAAACGTTCGATTCAGCACGACACACAGTCGTCAGAAAAACACCACACAAAAGTGCCAGTGCTGCCAGCTAAAACACACACACCAACAAAAAAAATATTGGAGTAGCCCAAGATATAGGCAAAGATTGCAGCGCCACAGCAGTAGCGAAAATTTAAATTTGCCGACTGGAATGCTTTTGGTTAACCGACGTTGCAGATAAACGACACTCTGCTGTATTTTGTGTTGAAAATTTCAATATTAGAACTTTGTTCATAAATTGGTGCATATTTAAATTTATAAATCAAACTATTTTTAGCATTAGAGGAAATTGCAGTTATCTGAAAATAAAAAGAATCATACAACATTGTTTAAAAATGATTCTTGCAATTATTAAGTTTTTATATTTGATTAAAATTGTGATTAATTAACATAATGGGATAAATAAAATTATAAAATGTACTATTGAAATTTCTGTTAATTTAAATTAATGAATTGGTTAAATTAATGTATTAATACTAATTCAACAAAGTATTAATATTTTAGTACATCTTTAGTTTTCTAATTAAAAGATTTTGCAATTAAGTTTCAAGACTAAATATGTTATTAATAGATAAACCTTATAGAAACAAAATTTACTTCACTCTTGCATTAGAATAATAATTAAATAATAAAAAAATAATTACAATTTAAAAATTACATCTTAAATATTCATTATTATATTAGTAAGAAAATTGAGTCTATGTAGAGTATGTAAATCTTTTATTTATTATACTTATGCATGGCTTTGATAAATTAGTAATAACTTTTATGTCAAACAGTAGACAAATCATGAATGATAAATGATTCATTTAATCAAAATATACAAGCAAGTGATTATTTAGATAAATATAATCAATATAAAATTATTATTTGTAATCGAAATATATTATTCTCTTCTGTCACACATTTTGGCTCTGTTAAAGTTCTGCTCATATGGATTTATATTTATTATTATTTTCATTAGACTGCATATGTTAAAGATATTGTTTTTGTATATGGTATTGATTAACATCTTATCATTTGTTGTGAATGATCTTTGTTTAATAATTTAGTAAGACAGAAATTACTGTTAATTTTTGAATTCCTTTATTATGATTTTCATGTTTAAATTACAAAATAGTGTTTTTTTTTTGTTTTTGTGTTTTTTCTTACTATTATTTTAACTCATTTATCAGTTTACTAAGAGCTAATTTGTCATTATTAGTTAAAATAAGTGTCTCATGATTAATTAATTACTAATTAAGCAATTTAATTGAAGATAATGGAAAATTATTGACATTGATAATATATTAAATCAATTACTTTGATTTAATATATTAAATATTCTAAATATTTAATTGTTAACTGAACAGCTAAATATTTAAAATATTTAGGACAGGATTTGAAAATGCAGTTTTGTTGAAATGTTTTATATTCTAAGAGAAGAACAAAAAGAAAGTATTTAATTTTTAGAAGGTAAAAAGCATTATTAAATTTGTAAAATTGTAAAAAATATAAAAAAGTAAATAGAAAAGGGAAAGAAGAAATTGTCATTTTCTCAAAAATAATAGAAATTACATGAAATAATTTAGTGGAAAAGATGTTGCTCGAATAACTGTTTAACAACTAAAATTATTTATTGTACAAAACTTGGGAAAAACAAATTAGGAAAGTAAATGTGTAAGACTGTGTAAAGATAATTAATAAATACATGAACTTACATTTTATCAATGGTAAAATAATCATTATAGGTTTACTGATGGATATGATGAATTTAAAAAATATATACTTCATATTAAAAACACTTAACAAAACTGGTTTATACTAATGAATCTTACTTTAGTTTTTGACAAGTATTCTTAATATATATTTTTTGATTATGACACATGTAGAAGAAACACTAAGTTAAAAAATAAATATCATCTTTTGTTCTTCACACCTTCAGGATCCAAGAATAGTCTGACAAAGACTATTCTTGGAAATGCAAACAAAGACTAAAAAAGAAAAGAAAAACTTTGACATCAAAGACTAAACTGCAAATTAATTATTTGAAAGTGGTGTATAAGCTTGTGAAATAGTATAGCAGTTAACACAAACCTGGCTTAGATGACTGTGTGAATCATTATTAATGATAGAGTAAATTTTGTGAGAAGTTAAGAATGCTAGGCTGGGGTTACCACTTGTCTTTACTTCAGCTGTAGTGTCTTTTAATCCTTATTTAATTAATGATAAAATGTCTTTCCTAACAGCAAAATGAAAAGGAAAAAGAAAAAAATGTTGCGACTAATATCAACTTTTCTTCGTGTTTCTAGTATTACCTAGTCTATATTACATTACCTAAGTTGTGTCCACCGACCTATCCAACTGCAAGTTTCTTTTTTGCAGAAATTACATCATTGCATAAAGTTGACCAGTAAGCTAATTCTGCCTCCTTTTTAGCAGACTGCAAGCTTTCTACAGTTACTTCAAACCAATCTAACTACAAAAACACTTTACTACAGTATATTATCAAGTGTTTCTCAACTATATCATAAAGAAACTTATGTAAAGGTTTTTTCTAACAGCTGTAAAATGAGAACTAAGTATGGTATCAAACATTTAAATGGAAACAAATAAGTATCTTAAAAAATTATATCTGGAAAATATTGTCTAATTCTTAATAAGAAACAAAAATTGTCCAATGTGAATTTGGCCATATTTTGAAGTAGAATAAGTATTTGAGATTTTACAATGTGCTTTTATGCTTTTTTTTATGGAGTACTAACAGATAAGCCCTGCGTTGCTTGGGCAAAAAGTAACAATAGCAAAGATGAAGATTATTACATTACAGCCAATCTTACCTATTTTCACAGAATGCAAGAATTAGGTTCCCCTGTTTCCAGACTAATTAGAAAATTTTTAGATGGGTCTAAAATTATGTTTGATTTAATGCAAAAAAACCACATCTGCGCCTGTAAATCTTGCATGTTGCTTTCTTTTAACACTTCCATTGTTGAAGCCTTAATCCTGTCCCTTTCCCCGCAGGGGGATTTCAAAAAATCCCTTCTTAGTGTGCATTTTTGTGACATACCCTAACTGTGTACCAAATTTCAAGATTCAACTCCTAACCGGCGCTGAAATGCTTGTATACACGCGCACCATCTATCATAGGATAAATGTACTATGCCAGAAACCTTCGTGGGAGTGTATTAAACAACGTCCCAAAGTTTCATGGCAATCGGATAAATGGTGTAGTAATGCATGAAGGACAGACAGACAGACATACATTCGTTTTTATGTATATAGATAAATGCACAGAAAAAAACCATCATTGGATGTTTTATTGATAAGGGAAACCAAGATGCATTTATAGCTAGCTGTAAGATATTGAAGATAAGAGAATGAAATGTTATAGATAGGTGTCAGTCATGCATAGAATAATTTAATATAAAAAAATTTGATTGTAGCTAATATGTGAAACAGTGCAATCATATAAGATAATGCAGTTGTACACAAACTAGTGCAACTACTTGTTTCACAGATTGACATAGTGTTATTTGCACACTGAAACAATTGCAATGTATTAATATGTGAGAAATTAATTTAAAAATAATTTTTCTAGTAATAAAAAAAAAAGAAATTAAATTGTGGTTCATCAACTTCTACAATGATTTGGCTTTTTCACATTTTTTAAAACAATTATTGGAATATATATATATATATTCCAATTATT